ATGGTATGTCATGTGTACAAAATTCCTATGAAAAAATCTTTGTCCTTGCTAGATACGGGGGCACAAGCCCATCATCCCAGAACTCTAGAAGGCTGAGGCAGGAGAAGGACCATGCTTAGGCCATCCTGGGCAACTTAGAGATTAACCAAGGACCCTTCTCAAAATAAAAAAGGGGTTGGCTTAGTGCAGAGGCTCTGGATTCTACCTACAGCACCACCACCACCACACACACACACACACACACACACACACACAACGCACACACAATCTTTGTTCTAAAATTGTGCCAGCCTGTCATTTAATATTGCTGCCTTCAATCCTCTGGAGGCTGCAGCTGATCCGAGAGATACAGACTCTTCTTCCATATTGTTAAGGAGGTGACACCAGATCTGCAGCCTCTGCAGGGTTAAACCTGCCTCCATATAACTCGATGTCATCCCTTTGAATTACACCCATCTCCAAAGAGCTTAAGAAAAGGCAAAGCCAACAGCCAGGTCAGAACAAAACTGTATGTGTGCTTCTTCCTAAGAAGCTGAATCAGTAGGGAGGGAGGGGTGCAGACTGCTCCAGATACAGGGAAAATTCACCTCACGGCAAAGGGTTGAAAGCACACTGCAATGAGTTACAAGCTGCAATGAGTTGCAACCAGTTTGGGCAGATCTATTTTATAATATTCTTAGGGGCTGTCCCACAGAGCAGCAGGAAAGCCTGCTGGTTTCCAGTTCTCTCAGTGCCCTGAAATCCGCACTGTATTATTTATTTTAAAGTAAACACCCCTAATTTCAGAAAGTGCCTCCAACAGCAGGTAAAGCCATGAATGCTGTGCCTGGTACAGAATAAAAGCTGAGGGAAATGGTCCAGTCTCCAAGTGACATGAATGAATGATGTGGGCCTTATAGGCAGAGGGAAGTCTGTCACACGTCCCTTCAAGAGACGTTTGCGTGCACCGGGCTCCAGTGTGTTCTCATTTCCCAGCCTGCTTCGGAAGAACACCACAGCCCTTCTGCCCGTTTCCCTGAGCTGCTGGAGATGTTGAGGAGAATGCATTTGGCGGCAAGGGAGGGTACGGGCTGGAGTCCTAGCACCCCCTCTTTGCTCACTGTATTTCTTTTTTGTACATTATGAAAAAAAAATTGTTTTTGTAGTACTAGGGATTGAACCAAGGGTCTCTGCACTAAGCTGTATCCCCACCCCCTTTTTTATTTTGAAATAGGTTACTTACTCACTAAGTTGTTAAGTTACCCAAGCTGGGCTTGAAATTGCATCTTCCTGCCTCAGCCTTCCAGAGTATTGGGATTATAGGTGTATGAAACTACTACTAGCTACACATTTCTAAGTGCTCTTTTTGTGAGGGTGGCAGGGAACTGACCCAACTATGCAAAAGAAATAAGAGAGGTATCTTTGGTTTTAGTTATTTCTCAGGCCCTAAATGGATTCTTGCTTTCTACTGTCTGAATAATAAAATTAATATAAATATTTAGTGGTATAAACAAATGTTTTTTTAGTTTTGGTTGGACCAATGCTTTTTTTGTACAACATGAAAGAAAATGAATTTCAGAAAGAAAAATAAACAAAAAGGAGAGGGCAGGAAAGGAAGGGAAGAAAAGGTATCCTGATTACTACCATGAAGTGCTAAGATCATAAATTCACTGAAGAGCTAGAGACGTGTCCCTGTGGTAGACAGCCTGCCTAGAATGCCTAAGGCCATGGGTTCAATCTCTAATACCACCCCAAAAAAAAAAAAAAAAAAAGTAAACTAAATCCTGTCAGGGTTTAACAATGCCTAGGCAAGGCAAGAGGAGGTGCAGAAATGGAGTAGCCACCTTTTCAGGCCCTGTCCAGCCTATATTCCCTTGCACCAATACATTTATTTTTGGCTTTTGGTTTCTTGTGGTGCTAGGGCTCATACCCAGGGCCTCACGCATGCTCGGCAAGTGCCACCAAGGAGCTACCCCCTTGCTGCCTGACATCTGCGCTTCAGCCCACACACACAGCGGGGCTATGCCTGTATCCTGTGAGCAGGGGCAGATTCCTCAGCCCACCAGGTTCTCTCCTCTGGAAGCGTCTACACTGAGGGAGGTTCAGTGGAAGCTAACTTGAGAGATGAGAGGCACCAGAGTTAGCTTGGTGCACACAGGAAGCAAAAGCCAATCTACAGGGGAAAAAGTAGAACATGTGGCCCCAGGGCAGAGATGGAGATGGGGAAGGCGGGACTCTGGCTTTTGGTTCCAGAGTCTGGTAAGAGCTGCTGGCCTTTACCTCTCTGGATCTAAGAGATCTTCCTGTCTCTTTAGAGTAGGTTGCATAGGCTTTTGTCACCTGTACCCAAAAAAGGCTTGACTAACACAGGAAAGGGGCTGAGATGATGTGAGACACACGTGTCTCGGAGAGACTGTACACATGGCACAGCGGTGGAGGAAAATACCTGGGCGGATGCAGAGGACATGGCAGCCCCTGGGGTCCGTGTGGGGCAGCACGGTGAGGAAGCCGGAGCTGAGGACATCATTCAGAGCCGATGGCCTCAGGTTACTGAAGACCTCGGGCCAGCTTCTCCTGCAGCTGTGGTAATTGACCAGCAGCTGCAGGGCCCGGTCATAATCAAATTTGCGGGCACGCAGGAAGCGCAGCAGGAAGGCGTCATCGAGGGACGTGCTCAGGTTGGGGTACTCCTTCCGTACCATGTCACGGAGGGCCTGCACATCCCGGAGTCGCCACTCTGGCTTCTCCTGCAGCTCTTCCCGGGCTTTGGTGACCAGGTCTTCGGTCAGTGAGCATACATAACCAGGAGGCTCCGGGGGTGGCGGCAGCTCATTTTCAGAGAGCGAGGCCACAGAAGGGCTGGTTCGCAGAGAGTCACTTTCTTCTGACATTAGCTACCAGAGTCCCTGCTGACACAGAAACCCCAGATGAAGTTACGAGAGCTCAGCACTGCACCTTTCAGACCCCAAGATGGCAGGATGTGGAGGATGGCAACATTTTTGTCAGACCTAAGGACCCTCAAAGGTGAACGGATCCAGATCTGAACCATAAGCCCAGCTCCAACCCCTAGTGGAGGATGTACTTAGAACCTCCCTGAATCCCCCGTCCTCCACAGCTCTGACTAAATATGGGCATTCCTCATCAAACATGACCTTCCCATTGAGTGTATGAATAGGGGTGTGAACTTTCTCATCCATCATTAAATACATGCGAACTAAAACAACTCTTGAGATTCAGATTGGCAAAAATAAAGAGTAGGCACTGTGAAATACCGGGGGCAGTACAAACTGGCATCACCTTTCAGAAGGACAACTTGTCAATATCCACCAAAATTTAAAACCACATATGGTCAGTAGTTCCATGTATGCAAAATATGGACACATCCACTGCAAGTATTAGGATGAGGGACTTGAAATGGGTGGGGGTTAGGGGGTGGGACTGACCCCAGGGCCTTTGCACTGAACTACATCCGTCTACCTACCTACCTACCTGCCTACCTATCTTGAAACAGGGTCCTCTAAGTTGCAACTTAGCAAACCTGGGCTTGAACTTGTGATCCTCCTGCCTCAGCCTCTCAGAGTGCTTTCATTATAGCCCAGTGCTACCATGCTCAGCTTGGAAATATCTCAACTGCACATCAAAAGACTAATTAATACCACTGGAGTGGGGTATTACTCATTTATGAAAAGGAAGTATCCAATCTTCATGAATTGACACATTAAGGAAAAAGAAAGGTTATAGCATAGCATACAAAAAGCATGTTTATATTT